GACCCTGCACCCTCTGTGCCACAGTCCCATAGCCCCACACATTGGGAACAGCCTGTGTACACAACTCTCTCCAGACCGTAGGGAGTGGGGAATGGTGACCGAAGCAGCGATGGAAAGGCTCCGAAGAATCAGCACAGGCAGAAGAGCCTCTGAACTCCAAGGTCACTCAGTGCCATCCAGTCACCAGAATGCACTGAGTATACAGAAGTGCCTTTCTTGACCCCAGCTATCATTGGCACACCCACCTTGAGGAAGGTTTATCGTCCTTTCGCCCTTTACCACTTTCATGCAGGCCACACGACTGGCTTGCCACACCTTATTGGCCTTCTAGATGAGGAGGATTCTAGACATGGAGTGACTGGTCTGTGGTGGGTTTTGTGTGCACCCTGGACTGTACAATGAGAGAGACTGTCCTTTCCTTCCCTTCCCCAGATTGCTCCAGGGAGTTAGCAAGTGTTTCCAACAGGCTACAATGACAAACACTTTGTCACCTACTGCAGGTGAAGGGTGGTTGCTCAGCCTTGGTGGATGTGTAAGAGGAGCAGTAGGGAGGATGGCATGGACGGCTTCCTTGCAATCAGCATCGTGCAGCAGTCCTGCCTAAGATTCACACGTGCATGAATCTTGAACCACTTGGAAGACCAACCTACACCTGCTTCCCTGCTGATTTCCACAGCTGCACCCTAGCTTTTCTCCCCACCTCCTCTCTCCATCCTGTCTCTGTTTAATCTTACACTTTTTCCAGCATGGGGATTTTCAGCCTTGCCTGAACAGTGCATGGGACTTGGGAACAGCATTGTCAGTCTTAGTGTAACTCATATTACAGCCTGTGTGCACGTGTGTTCATGAATGGAGGTGGAGGAGAGGTGGGGAAGGACCAGTGAATCACTACGGTGCTGTGGGTGAATCCTCTTTTCTTAAAATTACTCTGTATCATTCATTTATGTTGGGCATTTCTAGCCTCTCAGTCTTTTCTAATCTCTTCAGAATCCCAAACAACCTCTAAGCAAACTTGGTCCTTGCTCTTCCATGTTTGACTGTGCCTTCCTGAAGTGAAGAGGCACCAAGAAAGCTACTATGCACTTGTCAACACCCTGAGTTGATTCCAGTACTCTTTGAACCCCCACTCCAAACCCAGGCTGATGGGGTCTGTCCCCCCGCTCATTTGTTCATCATGTCTCCCAGTCAGTTAACACCTCCCTCCCATCTACACTGAGGATGGAAAGATACTCCTGTGGCTTTAAGCAAGGTAGATATAGACCCAATCTTGGATGGGTGTAAAGAAAAAAGGCCTATTTAGATGCAAAGGAATCTATTTTCCCCTTTGGGTTTCAAACTTGAAGCAACCAGCTCTCTCAGTCAGACTAATCTCCTTTTTCAGTCCAACACCTGAGGACAGTCTGCTTGCTTCTCCTTTGTCACCTTCAGGACTGGGGTGGTTTGTTATGCCGGGGAGTGAACTGGCACAAAACTCGCTGCAGGAAAAGATGACTCCTGCCAATTGATCACAGAGACATTTGTGGGACCGTCCAGTGCATATTCCAGTCTAGAAAGAGACTTTAACCAAACATGGACTGTGATGGGCGCTGCTGTATCCCTCTGCTGATATGACTGTCAGATGCCTCTCCTGCCTCCCTTAGCTACGGATGACTTATATCCTTCTGGTGTCTGAAAAGATCACGTAGAATGTTTGCTCCTTGTACGCATGTAACCTCTTCCAGCCCTGTCCCCTTATTTATATGCAAGTAGCACCTTCCTCCTTCACCTCCCTTTCCTCAGTCTCTATGCTGTCCTAGCACCATTAACTCTGCATTAAACATATGGAATAATAAACTTAAAAGTTTCATTTTCACATGTCTGGGTTTTTTTGACGTCTTCTCTGCAAGTCTCTGTTTTTTCCCCCAGTAAATGTATAATGGGTCACATCACCACCATAAGGATCCTGTGCACAGCTTTCCTCTGCCTCTCAGGAAAAGGACACAGGCAGAACTCCAACTGGCTGACCAGACTCTTTCATGGAGGTGAAGCTCATCTTCTGCTCACACCCCAGCTCCAATCATTGATTCTGTAAGAAGTACACTAACACTGATTTCTGTTCTTCAGCTGAAATTCAGCACACGCAATAAGGAACACTATTTTGCATGTGCTTCATCCAAAAATTTCTTAGTGTGATTGCTAATGCTCCCTAGGATAGAAGTGTGGGATTTCTCATCTTGGTTCCTCATCACCAGCTAGCAGGTAACATACCTTCAAAAAAAACTTCCCCACATACACAAACTTTTGTGTTTTGGAAGCAACCGTTAGTTTCTCTGTAGAAACTCAACCCCCCAGCCTCTTGCCTTCCACAAGCAAAAACCTAAATACAGACACTCACACACACAGAGTATATTGCAGATTAGATGTATACACCTTCTTACTTGTTGAAGACATTCTGGGTATAGTCAGATCTGAGAGGGTATCTGAAGTTTCTGAAAGAAAATGTGTAGCAGGTATCACTGTGCTTCAGAACATCTCCTGAGGCTAACAGCAGGAAGGTAGGAGCCCAATTAACAGAGACTCCACAACAATTACAGGTTGATTCCAAAGGATTTCAATGCTGATGCATGTGAGCAAATACAGTCAGTTTGTGTTCACTAAACACTTTATGGGTGAGTAGAGTGAGCAGGACATCTGGGAACTGTAGAACACATTCAAAACTTTTTAAAAAGCACAGCACTATTTGGATGAAGTTCTGTATAGGGTCAAGAGCATCCATAGCAGAATGGCTTAATAGATCTAATAACAGTGATGCCAGCTAAAGAGTTCTATGCAAAATAGGACTGACCATTTATGGAGAGGAGAAATCTCTACCCCAAATTACAGGCTTTAGGAAGAGCCCAAGAAGGAACTACTGCACTGCTGATCAGGTCAGGAGTGTGTGTGGGGAAGAAGGGAAGCCATGGTGGTGTTAGGGGTATGAGAGCTGATCACAGGGATGTGAGAGAGAAGTGACATGGCATGGATGAACAGAAGAGTGGAAAAGAAAGTTCATAACTACACCTAAGTACCCTTCTCCAGCTCCTCATAAAGCAAATTAAGAAAGCAAATAGGCTCTGCCTCGACCATTCTCCAGTGGAAAGAAATGCTTCCTCTCATGTAGGAGGATCCCCACAACTAAGACAGGACTGAGAATGCCACTGGTAACAGAGGGGTTAATCACTCCTCTTGCAGCCTAGCAGGAGCTGGCCCGGCATCCTTCCCTATCCCTTTAATCGTATCTGATACAGATGCAAGGCTGGGGAGGGGAGGTGGGTAGGGAACAAAGAAGCCATTTAAAAAAAAAATCAAAAAAAAGGACAAGAAAACGACCCCGCGCTCCATGGCAGACGCCAAAATGATTGCACAAAGGCACCATTTCAGGGCTGAAATTTCACCGCACCAACGTGATTAAAGGATTCCATGGAGGGTGGGGGGAGAGGGCTGAAGGCAACAGTGCTGCAAATTAACCTTTTCTTGGTAAGGATGGCCTGGACCAGGAAGCATTTGTGTTCCTCACAGTCAATCCCCTTCCCACACCTGCAAGCACCTCCACATCCCCTTTGACCTGTCAATTTTGCTCAGGACCCATTCAGTTCTTGCATTATTGCCTTGAAAACCAGCCCCTCCTGTGCACATCAACAGAAGATGCTCAGACTGGTGCTTTTACAGGGAGCAGTAAGAGAATGACATTCATGGTTGGTTATATGAGCCGAGTTCCCAGGCAGGTGGGTATAAACTCTCTTTGGGACATGGATGCTCATGTGCAGGCACTGACCACATATGCAGCATGGAGAATGAACACTTTATATATACAAACACAAGCTTTAACACAAATTAGTTGGAAATACTCTTTCTGGGCCAGTGTAAAAAAAAAAAATTAACATAAGGCAGAAACCATAGGTGAGGTGCACCTTCCCCCTTCTTCTCTTTAAAAATAAAACCTGAAAATTCTGAGAGCACTTTTTAGTAAGATAATTAAGAAAGACTTCATGTCATGTGTTCTGCCCAAGAACTCAGATCTTCCTCATATAGAGCAAGAATCTTGATGCACACAGAACAAAAAATGAAAAGTAGGTAGCTGTTGGCTGGGAGCCCTTGCAGATTGTAAGGCATCCACCCAAATCTTGACTCGAGCATGTTACCTCCCTGCACATCAGAGGTAAGAGTGCAGGTACCTGAAGGGGCCAAATGACTGATCTTTCATCACACTACAGATTAAAGGAGCACCAGGATTTGACTACTGTTGTTCTACTGTAAGAACCACCAGGGTATGTACAAGTGAGACGGCTGGAGAGCACCCACCCCTCCAGACCATCAGTTCCACCGCGTGTCAGAGAACGGCTGCATGAGGAGCGAGCGAAACAACAACCTACAACTGCGAAGCTGGTGGGGCTGCAAGTGGCGACTGCGCTTCCGGCTGGGGCAGTGCCACTGAAAGGGGATCCCCACTTCTGATAAGCAGTGGGAGCAGAGAAACAATAGGTGATTTGATGAGAGTGCTCTACGATACTCCTGAGAAGCCCCACAGTCAGGACCAGCCAAAGAGGAAATTGGGAGTTTCCACAGCAACCTGCTCAGGGCACAAAGGCCCAACTGTCTAGGGAGAAGCAATGAAGGTGTCTCAGCACTCTCATTTTAAGAAGGAACGGGGGCGGAAGGCTGGAGTCTTTCTGAAGTCAGTGTACCTGCAAGATCATTTCTGTACAGCAGGAGTTTAATTGTGTATCAGTCCTATAACCAGGGAGGAGCAGTGCTGGAGGAGGAGGAAGTAGTTACTGCAGACTTTAGCCTAGCTAAAAGATAAGGGGGAAAAAAAGCTGCAAAAAAAGCATTGCACTTGGGTCCCTAATTTTACTAATATAGCCCATGACACAGAGAGAAAGAATAATAGCCAAGCTGTTACACAGATAGTCATCTCTGGGGCTTGTAGGACTGAGATGAAAGAGGAAGTGGGAGGGGAAAAAAACCCAAACACATTTAACTTAAAATGGGGAGATTTAAAATTTATTTACATAAATACTAAACAAAATTAGAAACATTCCTGAAAAAGAAAAAAAAACAACTGGTGGCTGGAGTCTGATCAGTCTGTGATAATTAACTCATCCACACCCCAGTCTTCATAGCTCCCATCTGGCAGGTAACGACGGATGATTATGGGGATCTTGCGTGCTCTGCAGGGAAGACAAAGAGATGAACAGAAATATCAGAGCCTTCACTGTATCATGTTAGCAGGCAATGGGAACTCAGGTGCTTGGTGGCTTCAATGAGCTCATCATACTTGACTGAGGGCTGTGTAGCACCAGTGATTTGATATGATACAGTGAAGTCCCAACAACCTTTTGTCTTTTATAGGTGCAAAGCACTGAGCACTCTTAGGCTACAAACACCGAAGACCTACAGGTCAGACCTCCGTTGCTAGTGCAGGAATTGAGCCCTGTGATATGAACCCACTATGAGACAACATCAAGCATCTAACACTGATATGGGGGGGAAAAATAAATCAAGGGACTTGAACAAATCCACTTTTTGTTTGATGAAGATTTTTCCCCATATGATACTACAAAGTGGCAGAATTCTGACAACTTCTAGGACAAACCAACATTTACAGAGAATTTTGCATCCTGAGAGCACCAGCTACATTTTAAGAAGGAGGCACGAAACAGGGACTATTCAGGTACCAAACCCTGTTACAGTTGGGGTGGAGCACAGCACCTGCTAACAGTGCTTCCAATTGGAAAACAAGAAAATGCTGAACACAATTTAACTTAAGGGAAGTAGATTTAAGTCAGCAAAATATAATCAAGTCTGGAATCTAACCAGGGCATCAGGTTTCAACCCTATCCGACTTGAAAAGTAATGCAACTTCTTTACATTCAGGGACATTGTTTTTCCAGTAGCAAAGTAGCTTCCCTGATTCCAAGACTTATATCTGAATTTTGGCATAGAACAGGATGCCACTACACTTTGTCACATCCTGACTTATTTTGCAGAGCTCACGCTCAGGCAGTGACCAGAAGCAAATCAGTCTGAGCTTGGAGATTTGACAGGAATATGACCTAAGGAGCTTCTGGCAATGACAAAGGGAGCTGTAATAGATATAAAATCCGCAAGAGCAACTTCAATGCACTGAGAAACTAGGGGAGCAGAGGGACAATTCAGCTCAAGGACAGGGACCTACTCAGTAACGGAGTCCAGTTGCTTGAAGGATACCCGAATGTGATCCAGATCACTGACTGTCCAGGCAAACTGTGGGACAGCAGGGAGCTCTGCTGTGGAAAGGTGGGCCTGCAAATGGTCATCCAAAAGCTGCCTCTGCTACAGTCAGAAAGGATTTATTTACCTTTCTGTAAGCAGGGGCCAAGCACAATAAGCCAAGCATGCAAGGGTGCAGGAAACACACATTTTCACCAATTTTTCCAGGACTTCATTTGAACACAGGTCTGTTCAGATGGCTGCTTTGAAACAATTCCATTTGGGGAATTAAACTGAGTCTGGAAAGATGAGGACCTTCAGTTCGCATCACAGAAATAAAGAACAGTGGGACTGTGAAGTAGAAGAGGTCCAGAGCACTCCTAATCATCAATATTTGCACAAGCAACCAGGATGGAAGAGAGCAGCTGTCGAGAAGCTCCAAGGTGAAAAAAGGGGAAGGTAACTATAGAGCTCACTGTTACTGAAGGAAGACAAAGTTTTCTTGGAATAAACTGCTAAACGCTGGCTTTATGGGAATCAATACACTCACCACCAAATCTGTGACTTACTTGAGTTCTTTCATGGCAATCAGCAAGGGGTCTGTCTCTCCTTCCAGCTCAACCATCACAGGGGCACACATCCTGAGAAGAACATCAACAACCACTTAAGTAAACACACAGAAGAAAAAAAGGGACAGCTCAACATCTGCCTGCCTATGTCACCTGTACAATGGCCAACAAAGGAGAAGGGTGTGACTGGCAAAACTGATTTGCTCTGTTACGCACTTCAAGAAGAAAATTCTCCCAGCTGGCTACAGAAAGAACTTTTACTTGAATGTTCTTCTTGTCCCATCCCTCAGCCTCTGCTGACCAGCTCATGCTCAAGGACTGGTCAAACCTACACTCCTCTCATCTCCCTCTACTGTGCTTAAACATGAGGAAAAGAGCAGTTCTACAATTAATCCAATGGAAAGGGTTGAACTGCTGTATATTGAGCATGCCTCCTGCAACTCCAGCACATCTCTTATGTTCTGACTTGCTCACAGCTTCCAGGCTTTGATCAGGGGAGGAGAGGGGCTGGATTTACAACATACTTTACCTCTAGAAAGCAAAAAATTATGCATTTTGCAATGGATTGTGATGACACCCATCTACTGGGCAGTGGCAGCAGAGAAACCTCACATTATGTGTGGGTGAGGCCACAGGGGCTGCTCGCCTGGGTTCAGCACCAAAGGCAGAAGATGCAGGTGAAGTAGAACCAGGTGGCAGAGTGTTGTGGATTAAAGGCCTGGCATGGGCCATCTCATCTCCTCCCATCTTTCTGGCCTTCTGCCAATTGAAAGAAGTGCACAAAACAGGTTCACAGAGCAGAGGCTGTGCAGAGAACAGCTTGGAAAAGTGGTAAGGAAAGATCTGATCACTACCTGCGAGCTTCTAAACAATACAGAACAGAGGCTTCATTTCAAGGGTGGATATAACCAAGATGAAACTCAAAAACTTGTCACTGCCTAACAATCTAATTCAAAATGCAGTTTTTCCAAAACCACAACACTTTTTGATATTTATTATTATAACAAATCTAAATAGGAAAACTTGAGAGCAGCAAGCCTTGACAGCACTTAAAATAGGTTCTAAATGTTATTACCTATTATGAATGAAGCCTTATTATTGCACATACTTTAAAAAACGTACAGCTCGCCACAACAGAACTACACTTAAAGTGGATTTCAGGTTGGTTTCTCCTGTCCCAATTCCTACAGCCCTGTGGTATCAACTGAAGACATTTCGGAGCATCCTGCTCTTCAGGCTTTTACATATCAGTTACGAGCTTTCCAGTCCACATTGGCTCTCTTAGGAAAGACAGAAGCCAGAATCGGTATGTCCCATTCCATACTAATTTTTGCCTGTGACCTAGGAAAATTCACTGGGGCTAATAAATGCTCCCCCTCTCTAGGCAGAAGTAGCACAGTCTCAGCCAAGGAGAGACGCAGAGACTTCAGGTGCAACTAAGAGCTCCACAGTTCTGGGCATCAGCATTGACCAAGAGGATGACATGCAAGCTCAGCAGTCATGCAAAGGATCCAGGAGTTTTCAAGGGAAGAGGAAAGCACGTTTCAGTGCAAAGGGACGCGCAGCTGTGGCGGCGGGGGGGACACAGCGGGCAGTACTCACGCTATCTGGAGAGCGCGGGTGCCCAGGACTCTGGCTCGCTCGTACTTGGTCATGTAGGGTGTTGTAATCCGCTTCTGGTTCGCCTGCTGTCGCTCTCCCGAGGGCAGGATTTCCACGTTCTCCTGTCCTTCCTGGTAGAAAGCAGATCAGCACCGCAGCTCAGCTGCGCCCGCCGCCGAGGTCCTGAGGTACCGGGAGGGCCCCCGAGGCCTCCCCAGCTCCGGCCCAGAGGGACCGGCAGAGCCGCGGGGCACTCACCTCCTCTGCGTTCTCCAGGTCCTCCAGGCCCTCATCCTCCTCCACATCGTCGAAGTCGTCCCCATCAAAGCTGCGGGAGAGACACGAACGTCATACGCGGGGCCGTCGCCTCCCCCTGACCCGCCCTGAGGCGCGATACGCCGCTGCCGCCCCCCCCTCCGTGCCCCCGGCCGCCCCGCTCTCACTTGTCCTCGTTGTCAGACATGTTGCCCGCCCGGCGGAACTGGGAGGCACTTCCAGGAGACAATTCCGGGCGCTGCCGTGACGCTGCCGGAACCCATCCGGTGCTGTTGCCATGGCGACCGCCTCTGTGTCCCGTCCGCCAGCCCGGTCTCGCCGCTCGCCGCCCGTCGCGATGGAGGCGCTGGGGACCCCGGGCCGCGGCGGGGGCTCGGGGTCGGGCAGGTCGGCCCAGTACAGCCCGGGCACCCGGGAGCTGCTGAGAGGTAACGGCGGAGCGGGGCCCCCCCGTGCGCCCGTGCTCCGGCCCGCCGTGCCTCGCCCGAAGGAGAGCGTCCCACCGCGGTCCGGGAACCGGGCGGGCCCGTCGCTGGTGTCGCCGCCCCGGCTGGAGTCTCCTAAACCTGCATATTCCCCATTGGGTTCGGGTCGTGACGGGGGGTGGCCCCGGGGCGGGTTCCCCAGCCCGGCCCCGCTGCCTCTTCACCCACACGTCGTGTTTTGCAGCGATGATGGAGGAGCTGAACCTGACGCATTCCCAGAGGCGGTACCTGATGGACTGTGTGAAACGTGAGTGAGGCGCCCAGGCTCTCCCGACCGCTGCTGTGCTTTTGGTGAAGAGCTTTTGCCGCTCACCTTGAGACGAGGGTGTTCATCCGCAGCCTGCTTGGATGACCAAGTGCTTTGAAACAGCAGCACGGCAGCTGCTGACACACTGGGATGTGAGGGGTGAGGTGTCCCTAAGGGTCGTCCAGGAAACAAGGCACAACAAGGTGATTTGAACCACAGTCTGTCTGGTACCAACGACCCGGGTGAGGCACCTGTGGGATCTGGAGTCTGCTTGTGATGCTACAGTAGATCAACAGGCAGGTCTTCTGCTGGCACTAGGCCAGGATCCTTGTGGTCCCTTCTGTGTCATTTACTGTTATTTTTGGTTTGTTCCCCAGGAGGAAATGCCCTGCCCCTCCAGTGGCCCTCCACATCCAGCAAACAGCCAGTGCCTGCTTCCTCCCCACCAACCTGTCAGCCAAGCAGGCTTCCAGCTAGACCACATCTCCGACCTGCCAAGGTGTGCCAGGCAGGAGATGCCTACGCTCGAGAGAAGTTCAAGCCACAGCCCACACGTAAGTTGGCTAACATTGCTGATAAATACACAGTGACCCCTGGACCCTCTCTTCCCCTTCTGTCTATCTCCTGCCTGCAGTCTCAGTAGTGGCAGGGTATATCTGAATTGCTCCATGTCCTCATGCTTTCAGTCTTTAGAGACACTTTAGAAATGGATCTCTGACGGAACATCTACTTTAAGTGCTTGCTGACTTCTGCCCCCCAGCTTGGGGTGGGGACAGGCAATAGGGACCTGCACAGTCCTTGAGTAAGAAGGAAGTACTATGTGACTTTCTAGCACATAAATGTGAATCAAACCTCTGATGTTGGTCTGATTGGCTCTGTCCACATGTGTGGTGCTTGCACAGTTCAGTCCTGGGATGGATTGATGTTAATGTAACACCTCCTCTGTCACCTTTAGCAGGGGAGTGGTGTGGCCAGGCTCCTCCCTGAGGAGACAGGCTGATAATAAATTCCTTTACCTTGGCATTCACAGGAGATTTGGAAAAGGAGAAGCAAAGACTTCAAAACATCTTAGCGACAGGGAAGGATGAGGTGGAGGACGAGGTGGAACGGGTGGTGGTTCGGACAAAGGAAGAGGAGATACCTGAGCCTGACCGGTTTGAAGAATGTATGTCTTTACATCCCCTGGAGGGAGGCAGGCAGGAAACCTGGGAAGCCAGCTCCTCCGAGGGCTGGGGTGGCAGGCTGTGTTGCCAGTAACCTGGAGCCCACTGCAGAAGGAGGCACAAAGCCCAATTTCCAAGAGAAAGGCCTTGCTGCTGTGCTGCTGTGATCCAGCCATCCTTGCAGAGCTTATACTGCTGGCAGATTAAAGCTCCCTGGGCTGCCTGTGCAAAATGAACTCTGCCAGCAGGGGAATATCCTAAGGATGTGCAGGGTGACCTGGGCAGCAAGCCCAGGTACTGTGTGTCCTTTCCCCAGCAAGTATAACTCAACATAGATTAGGTCACTTTCCAGCCTGACTATGGTTTGGGTTGTTTCACTCCAGGATCACAGCAGTTACACTAGCAAAGCTTAAATGTTGAGCAAAATTTTAAGCAGTGAAAAACTTTGGCCTGCAGAGTATGCTGGGATAGCAGAACCCTGCCTAATACCTCTATGTGCTCAAATCTTCAATGCGTGTGTACACCCCAGCCAGCCCTTCGCTAGCCAGGACAGCACAAAGATGGGCAACACCAGAATAACGTGTACAGAAGGGGTGCTTTGGTCCCTGCTGCAGGGAGCCAGTGCAGCTGGCATCACACATGCTTGGTATCCTCCAAAACTTGGCACAAGCTGAGTGTTGTCCTTCGCACATCTTTGGCAGGATTTGGACCAGCTGGCTGCAGGTCTGTGTTGCAAAGAAGCAGCTAATGTTCCCTACGTGGTCCTGGGAGCAGAGATGGTTGAGATAACTGGGTGATGTGTGTCAACTAATGAACCTCAACAGCAGGTTCTCTCTCCATCCACAGACTGGTTAAATTGCCCACAAGCAACAGAGAATTGTCCGTACAAAGAAAACCAGAAACCTACCATTCCTGGAAGTTGGGGAGGAGGGAGAAGTTGGGCAGAGGGGACGTTTCCCATTGTGGAAGGGACTACTGGGGTATTGTGAAGACGTGCAAAATGAGTGTTCAGAACATCACCCTTCCTCTGGTGGGACTGCTGTTCAAGCTGAGCTAGGAAATTGGGGGTTAGAACTAGACAGAAACATGTTTTCTTGCCTTTTGGCTGTATCCTGTTTCCACAGTTCTTTCTCTTATCCATTAGTGGTGAATGAAATTCAGGACAGGAGGGAATTCCTGGCGCAGATGGAAGCTCTAGGACAGGACAAGGAGTATAAAGGGATTGTCCTTACTGAAATCTCACAGGTACGCAAGGGTCTTGTCTGTACAGTAAGTGGAGGGAATGCCTTGTGTCAGAGACCATAAAGCAGAGACCTCTTGTATCTGAGCAGGGAAGGGGGCAGAGAGCTGTTTCCCTTCATGGCACAGCTCAGGTGTGAATTTGGGGAATGGTGGGTAGAGGTTTTTCAGCCTTTCTTTTCATCTCTGCATGTAACTCAATCAGGGAAATTGAACTTTTGTTCTTGAGATTGGCAAAAGAAGAAAAAAAAAGCTGATGGCTTTCTCCCTGCTCAGCCCTTTCCCTTTGTACTTTGCAGAAAATGCATGAGATGGAGATCATTGACAAGAAGAGAAGTGAGGAAATTAGAAAGATGATGACAAAAGACTTCCCTGGTGGGAACAAATCTGATCTCCATGACTAGGCCAAGGACAAAGCACGAGTGCAGTTTGTTCCCACCTTTTCTTCCCGGACTCTTGGCATCGGAGTCTTAAGGACTGGTCTTTTCCCAAAGAGGGGACAGCACCATCTGTTGCCCAGCGGGCAGGACTAATTTGTACATAAACGGCAACAGAAGTTGTTGTAAAATCCTACCCACACACCGGATCCCCTCTTGCTCAACAATATTAAAGACATGGAAACACATGGCAACCAAAACATGACAAAGCAGAGCCTCCTTTGCCTATGCAGTGCCTCAGTACAGCAATCCACTCATAGAAATGTCACTCCTTCCCATCTACCCAGAGGTGGAGGTTTCTCGTGACAGCATGATGCTAACACACACGCTGCCACCCCCACCTGCAGCCCACTCGCTCCTGTCCCTCCCGACTCAGGGAGGGAATAATGGCTCTGCTGGCAGAAGGGAGGGAGGAGGATGCAGCTGCGTGGCCTTGCGCAAGCATGAGCCCCTCGGACGTTGCTGCAGGTCGGTGTGACTGTGCATCAGCAAAGCTCTGGCAGCAGCTGAGCTGGGCAGTCACTCAGGAACACAGCTGTGCTGAGCAGGGAGAGGGGATTTCAGACCAGTGCCTGCTGCTCTTGGCTGCGGGTTTGCTGTGGTTTTTTGGTTCCTGAAAGCATGGTATGCAGAATAGCCATCGGCTTCCCACAGAGCCTGGAAATGGCTGTTTGCTCACCTCAGACATACCCACACCTTTGTACTCCAGCAGGCTGAAGCATGATGCCTTGCTTTTCCTGTGCAAATCCCAGCATAAAGTCCAGTTTCCAATTTCCTTAAGATCCCATCCTCTGCTTCTAAGCAATACTCTTGTCAGCCACTCACCAAAGCCAGGCAGCATGCCCTGTCCAACATGACTACACAAAGGAATCAGAAACCTAAGCCAAGATCATTTTTTAAATCCAATGTTTCTTTTATTTCTGTTCAGGTGAATGGAAGTCACGGAGTTAGTACAGTATAATTTACAAATCAATCTTCTGACTGGGCGTGGGGCCAAGGGGTGTCAGGCTGCAGTGATCCCAATGGCCTTTGGCAGCAGTGACATGACAGCAGGCTCTAAAGCAGGTTTGTTTCTCCTTGGAGAAGGGTTGTGCTTTGGGATCTCCCCTCCCCTACCACTGCTCCTCATCAGCCTGCTGGGGTAGGGAAAGGTGAGATGGCATCACCAGCGCAGGGCTGAGCTGGCCGGCTCCCAGCCACAGGGGCCACACTGGGGCTGAGAAGGGCCTCGGGTCCCTCTGGTTTTGGGAAACGAGGATCCCTTTCCAGAATGCCATGCCAGCCACCTTGCAAGGCACTGCTCTGAGAGCATTTTGGCTAAAGCCTGTTGGGTTTTTAGAAGGGACTGCAGCAGATGGCTCAGGGCTGGTTATGTCTGATTTGCTAATGAGAAGGCATGATGAACAGCTGACCAACCAAACACCCATGAAACTCTACTTCTGGCTGATCCAACAATTCAATAAATAATTCTCCTCGCCTTGGAAGAGAAGGCAGGAAACAAAAATGGAAGGAAGAAGGGATGGTTGGAAGAATACCGCCCCCCATTCCCTCCTCCAATGTACACACACGCACACACACAACAAATAAAATAAGGGGTTTAAAGTTTTAGGATGGGTTTGAATTCATCTAGTAAAGGAGGTGTAAAAAATAACCAGCCAACACCTGCACACTTTTAAAGTATACACCGACGAAGCTGGGTAAAGGTC